CTGGGACAGGTTGCCCAGGGAGATTGTGGAGTCTCCATCCCTGGAGATACTCAAAAGCCATCTGGACATGGTCCTGGGCAACTGGCTGTAGGTAGCCCTGCCTGAGCAGGGGAGTTGGACCAGATGACCTCCAGAGGTCCCTTCAACCTCAACCACTCTGTGATTCTGCAAATATTGAAACATTAAAATTGGTACAAACATTTGACCTTTATGCGGAACACTAAATGTCTTCAAAGGAAGGGAACAGCCCTGGTTTGATATCCCTTGCAGTGACATGTAATGCAAATCCCTTCTCGGTTATTCAGCAAGATCTGTAAATTCCCGAACAGCTCCCCTTTGCCCTCTTGGTAGTCTGCCAGACTTGCTAAGTCTCCTGCAACCTTCCGGTTTCTGACTTATGCTTTTGAGAACTTACTTAGCTATTTGCCCTCGTAATGTCCTTTGTGCACACTGCCTGATGTAGTTTACACTACGGTAACCCTTGCGCTAGGTGTCAGCAGCAGCAGAGGAGGGGTGCACTCAGCCCCTCTGGTGGGCCAAGTCTTCCTGTTCCAGGAGTTTTCTAATATAAATATTTAAAAAATCACAAGGCAGCGGCTTGTGCCCCCTTTAAAGGGTCTGGCTGCTCACTTCAGGGTCCCTCCAAAGAAATGATTTAACTGACAAAGAGTAAGGAAGAACAGGCCTCTGCACCCTTTCAAAGACAAAAACAGAAGGGTTGACTGCTGACTTGTTTAGCCTTGCCAAAGGAAGACTGAGGGACACAAGGGGGGTCAGATCTCTTGCTATAAATATCTCGGGAAGAAAACAGTTATTCATGCTAAGAGACAATGCTGGCGTAAGAACAACTGCATATGAACTAGCTGTGAATTCATTTAGGATGAATACTGAAAGCAGATTTTCATCCACTGGAGCAGAGAGACCCCAGAGCAGCCTTCAAAGAGAAGCAACAGCAGCACACATGCGCTCAACGGCATCCCAGCTCAAGAGCAAGAGTTCGGCAGGAGACTGGACTCTGACACAGAAGATCCATTTTACTGTTGCATCCCTGTCATCTGTTCCACATTGTAATTAATTCCGATAAAAGATGAATATTTTTCATGAATAACTGTCGCGTTACGCCCATGCATAAACCTCATGATGGCCTGTAGTGATGAATGAGCGTCAAGCAGGCTGAACAAGGAATTCCTGCCAGCCTACGCCTCATAGAAAAGGCATCAGCACGACATACCAGAGTTTATCAGTCTCAGAAATAATCCCGATAGAGCATGTATATAACTCAACCTTCAATGTGTGGCTGACGCACAGATTTTGTACTCGGAGAGCTATTTCAGCTAGGGGTTAGATTTCTCAGCCCCCTCATGCTCCTCTGGATGCTTTTCCAATGTAGTCACTGTGCAGGCACAGTTAAATGGGTACAGACATCTCAGAAGGTGACATCATATATTCTTCCTTCTTACACTTAAATATACACTGCAGGCAAAAGGCGCTTTTGTACCATTATAACCGCAAACGAGCTAGGAAAATCATATGCTTTAACTAGACTTGAACCACTAAAACAGACTCATGTGAAGTAAAGTCCTTGAAAGAAATCTTTAAGAAACAAAACTAAACCCCTGTTTCAGCACGCAACCTATTCTTCCTTCACCAAGGTTTTGCTCATTAGCTGGTTTTGAATGCCAGAAGGTAAATTTCTTTCAGAACAGACTGCCCTGTAACATTGTGTTGTGAAATTTCACATTCATAATTTTATTATAATCTGAATAGAGGCGGTATCTGAAGAGCAGAGAAAATGACTATACAAAGAATTTATAGAACATTCATTTACATACTGGAGACCTTTTGATGCTTCTTTACAGTTTCAAGAAAAAGGCAAAAATTTTCACTAGTAGGTAAATCCAAGAAGGAAACATTAAATTTTTAATGATACTGTTGGATACACGGAAACCATTTATTTAAAAACATGGCTTTTAGCATTTTTGTAGTTTAACACTGTACGATTATAGTAGTACATTTACTAAGCAGGTTAATAGGAGTCTGGCTAAATACATGTGTCAACTTGCTGCCATTAGTTATGAAACTGCATATACACATCTACCAAAAACCTTGAAAGAAAGTGCTGTATTAACTATTTAGTCTTGTATTTGCCATGAACATAAGTTTTGTGAACGTCTTTCTACATACACTACACAATGGTACATACTGAACTATTCCGCTTTGTGCATTTTTTAATTCATTAAAAAGCAAAAGCACGTGGCAATATACCATCCAAAGGAATGCATAATAGAAAACCTCCCTTAGAAACAGGGCAACTTCTTTTTTCCCACTTACCAAGTAGAGCTAAACTCCCAGGAAACACCACCAGGAGTGTCAGCGTTCAATTCCTTATGCTCTGGAATTCAGCAGGCCTTGAGAAAGCACAAGGAATAAAAAATAAGGCCCTGAATGGAAATGATAATACATGGGAAAAAAAAGACACTTTATTTTCAGCCCAAAGGCCAACACTTGGTGTCTAACAAGACACACTAAAATTTAAGTATCATCTACAGAAGTGAAAAAATATAGTAAAAAATTCCTCCTCATTTCAATGCTCACAACACATCAGATTTAAATCTAATTGAGATGTCAGCTGAAGAAATTCACTGGGCTCCAACTGGCTGACTAGATTAGGCAACTGGGTTCTTGGTGCATCAAAAGAATATTAAAAGGAAACTTGTCCTCACACGTTTCAAAAGGATCAAAGCTCCTAAAAGTAAGAACTGCATTCTTTTTTGGATGGTACATAAACACCGTTTAAGTAGTACACCTCTGTGTCAACAGGACAGAATTATTTGGTACAAATCAGAGGCACTTGCCTTTGTTGCTTCAACGGTAGCTACTACGCTTTGGATCGCTTCACCCTTCCACACACATCCAGTGCCCACTGCTACTCATACGCCGCTTCCTGGTCCAAATACATCAAACTGCAAATCTTTCTTCTTTCTCCCTCTCTTCCCCACCCCCTTCCTTTTAAAAAGTATAAAGTTATTTATACAAAATTCATTGTTACACAAATAATCTGGTAACGCTTTGGCTACGGTCACTGAATAAGGCTTCCATGGTCCTAACACTTTAGGAAATAGGAAGAGAGTTGTTAATAAAAAACAGATCACAATTTATACAGGACAAACATAGTTCAAAGGGTGGAACCTTCTCACCATAGAGCCCAACCAGAGTTTCCCATTCCATTTAACCATTATTTAGTAAAAGTGGTAAAAGGGTTGAATTCTCCAAGTGGGTACAGTTACTAGTTAATCCAGTGCCTCATGCATCAGGATGCTGAATTCAGCATGTCGTTTTATTCCTCAGGATAATAATATAATGTTGACAGCCACACATCAAAGAAACAGAGACAATGAAACTTGTCAGCACTGTCACACTGAAGCTGCTTTATTACCGTCAGTTCTGATACGGGGGTCTAGTACTGCTCCTTTTGGAGTGAATGGGAATTACACAGTAGACCTCAGCAGCTTACTCTCCTCGTGAAGGTTTCCACCGTAACCTACTGTATCGATTTTCTGTAAAGCTAACTAGCACTTTGGTACGCATTTAAAATACCGACGTGTTTAGAAAGATACAGAGTACGTGCAAGTGTGATGGTTGTAGAAATCACGACGTAAATGCTCTCAAGAAATGGGACAGAGTAACAAAATAAATTCCATTCCCTTTTGGATTTCCTGACTCAAGGAATTATTAAAAAAACATTATAAACCAGAAATAGTTCCTACAGATAAAAAAAAGGCCAAAAAATCCCCCAAATCCCATAAAAAGGGGGCTAAAAGAACCCACGAATCTAATTATGTATTAGGTAGGGGAACAAATGTTACTACCAAAACAGTATTGCAGAGACGGGAAATGGGAAGTATCTTGTCACTGTAAGACAAAAGTCAAAGTATGAGACTCTATAGCAAGGCACAGGCTATACACAGGCACAGGCTATTATGCAAAATAGCGCAAAAGAGGCAAAGCTCAACAATGGTCTAGTTTAAGAATATCCATATGACATATCAAGATAGGAGATCTACTATAAATAATCTGACACAGGTAAAAATATATAAATTATAAAATTTCCTTCTTTGCTTTTCCCTCATTTTTATCCTGTAATTATTAAAATACAGAATCTTCCCTGCTTAGTTCTCTGTATAAAAAAATAACAATACAAAAAAACCCAATTACAGAATAGATTTCCACACGACCTTCTTTTTTTGTTCTGCCACATCTCCCCTATTTAAAATTTTTCAAACTAAACCAGCCCAGCCTTCTTAACACTAAATACAGAGCAATCTCCCTGAATATTCCACATTGCCGCTCCTTTCTTATCAGAGATCAACTTACACAAACCTTCTCTTCACATACATCTTCCCCTCTCTCCATTCAGCTCCCATCACTGATCACATAATGATGAAGGGAAGAGCAAATAGTCTTCCTCAGACCATCATTCTCTTAAGAGCATGTTTGCGAGGCCTATAGCTACCATTGATGCAACTACGGCAAGTGTCTTTGTAGAGGTTATACACAACATTTTCTGCACAAAAAAGTAGCACAGCCTAGTGAGTATTTCTGCTCCAATAAATGATGAGAAACAGCATGTGAAGATGTATTACAAACCCTTCAGGAGAAAAGTTTTTCATTTCTGCTTCATTCAGGTACGGGCTACATGGGTTTGGGTGGCACCCAGCTTCTTTTGTTTTGTCCTTTGATGTAGAAACAAAATAACGCTTTGTTAAGTCAGAGGCATCTTCAAAGAAAAGGCTGAACTCTTGCAAACAAAATGCAGATAGACATCCTCTGCTTTCCTTCTTGGGAACGACAAGGTTCAGGCGTTGCTGCTGAATAGGCTCTCTCCCTCTCACAGCGCTTTCCTTCAGCGAAGTCAGCGAAGAGCTCCGAGTCAAGGATGGAAAGGCATCAGATCTTCTTCTGGGATCCGATCATGACCTTCGATACGAAGTTCACAATGGCACTGGCAGGCTGCTCCGGATCGTGCTCCGCAAACAGGTGGCACACGTTGTCGGTGGCACTGCCCTGCTTCCTCGCAACGAACCCGAACACTCTGCAAGGGCAACCGGAGCGGGTCAGAGAACGGACAGGCATCGCCTCGTTTCGTAAAGCAAAAAAGATACCGCAGGAACCAAAAGCACCGACCAGACTCCATCTGTTCTGACGGACAAGGTCCTGTGTGACCGCTAACACAGTGGTCCAGGCACGCCAGCCGACTCAGGAGCACCCGAGTGGCTCAGGACGGCCAGAATCAGGGAAGGACCTTCCCTCTTCCCTCTTCCTTCCTTCCACTCTGCCTGGATCCCGTCCTGCACTGTTTGCTGTCAGAGACACGCTGCTGACCCCGGGGATGCGCTTAATCCGATCCAATACTGGCGTCCTCTTACCTGCCTTGGGGGGGTGTGGTGTGGTGTGTCGGGAATTGCCTAAAGAGACATTCCGAGGGCCACGCACCTCAGTGGACAGGGTACTGGAAATAAATAGGACTTAAGCCATCTATTTCTGTTCTTTTCCAGAAGGCAGTGCCTGAGCCCTCTCTGTTTAGTTTTTTTCTTTTGGTAAAAGGGGGACGATGACATCTGCCTTCAACAGAAAACACTCTGCAATCCACTGGTAATTACATATTTATGCCACACACTAGTATTACTAGGAGTGTTTTCATCCATGTGCTGTGTATGGGATTTTTTTTTTAAAGGTGTCAGTCGAAGCGAGACAAGTAAGCTTGTGTTAGTGTTGCTGGACAAGTGGAACACAAAACTGAGTAGCAAATGGCTCTGTTTTCATTTCTGAAACTTTAGTCAAATCGCAGACCTGCAATCTAAATAAACCACGCCAGCTCTGGCTCCAGACACCCCACCATCACATAATTAGGCCCCGAATTGCAGAGGTGCGGATGAAGTAACTGAAGTCTAATTACAGTGGGCAGAGAGACTTTTGTCTCTGAACAGCTGCCTTCCCTTCTACATCTCTGACAAAGATAATTTAGAACACTAAGAAACTGATCACTGTCGTGATATTCCAAAGTAATCAGTTAAAAGAGACTCAGACGGGTGTCCACTTACTTTGCAGAAAGGCCATCTTTCATCCATCTTGTCATCCATTTAAAAAGCAGTAAAAAAAAAAAAAAGAAAAGGAATGGAGAAATAAAAATAAAACCTATGTTAGCTTTTTGTGTAGATCAACAATACAAACAACATATTAGAATGCAACTGCTTGTCTTCCTTACTTTCTGTCCTGTGGATCCAAAGCACAGAAAATAACAGTGCTGACTGGATAATGCCGCCGAAAAAAGAGTCTGGATAGAAAGAAATAAAACAAGTTTTAGGAATAGTTAAGATGCTTAAAATTTTAAACAATAAACAGATCTGAAAAATAAATTACATTACATTTAAATTTAATAATGATGATATAATCTTTTTGCTATCTTTGAGTGACTTTGAAAGCTACCTGAACTGCTCCAACCAAATAAATCCATATTTAGAATAGTAACGTCAAGTTTTTGAACCATGAAAACTGACCCTCAAGCTAAGAAAAAGAACTAGAAGTATGAAATGTATTTTTTCTAAAAACTGGCCATTTAGATACTATGTCCGTGGGAAATGCAACTTCTTGGAACTTGTGAATAATTTTATTACATTAAGTTTCAAAATATAAGCACTCAGAGGCATTATAATTTAAGATTTTGTCCTTCATCTGCTATGAACACTCACAGACCCCATGGAGTTAAGAAGTCTGGCACTTTTTTTTTTTAAACCTATAATGAATTCCTGTTGTCCCTCCTTTGTTATTGTCAGTTTACAACTCTAAAGACTTTGTGGTAGCCTTAACAGTATTCAGTACAAAGTAAATATTAATTAACTTTTTATCACAGTATTTCACAGGCTATGCAAAGCACATTGTCAAATACTGGAGATACACAGTGTCTGCTTAGGTCAGCTCTGTTCAGTGAAAGATACCGTGAAGATAAACTATTTCACTGAACAGGCTGAATACCAAATGCCGGCAAAGCCATTACTTTCCCTTTTTATAAGAAATAACAATGAGAAAAATGCCATGGCAAAGTGACCTTCCAGAGGTAAAAGCTGCCACGTGGAAGTAACGTCCACAGCATAAACATTCATTCTCCAGTACCGCAGACAGCCGACACTGTCACCGTCATTCTTCAGACAATCCTACTACCCTTCAAGACGGAGACTCCAGAACATAACTAGGAAAATCAAACCAACAGCAGCCAACGCTTTTTGGGGACAAAGCCCGATATCCTCTTCCCATCCCTCTTTTGCTTACTTTCTTTGATTATCGGTCAACGTGATGCCCTGCGCAGACACCTTGAAATGGACAACGGTTGAGATGGGAGATGGATCTTGGGTCAGTGTCAGGCTCAAGGCTTTCTGTACTGCCTGGTAGCCCGTGAGGGACTCCATCTCCACTGAATTCAGGTACCACACGTTACACGCTGCAACAGAAGAGGGGAAAGACTCTGAGAGGTCATTACCCAGCAGCAAGCAAACGGGCATCTTCTGAACAAAACCAAACAAAATGTAAATTTTCCACCTTTCTAAAGCCAACAGGGAAGACTGGCAGCAACCTACCAAACCTTCTACACGTGCCTCACCTCGTCCTACTGTTGATTCAGTTTTAAGACTATAATTTTGGAGGTCATGGGCCTTTTGCTGTCCCTTTGTTTTTAATACCTTTATATTTAAGCCAATGACTGTATTTATCTACTACCCCCAGATCCTGAAATTTAAATAAATACTAAGACAGGAGCAGAGAGAGAGGCCACTCATAGGTACTACTACAGCAAAGGAATTCCTGAGGGGAAAGAATGGGGGTATTTTGCTTTTAAGTTCAATTACAGCAGCCAATAAGAAAACACACATTTTTGCAGCATACGTTCACACATTTTACACGTTCAAATGGTATTCAAATTATATTCAAAGGAAACCATTCACTTGTTTGGCAAAGCAAGAACGTTTTCACCCCATAAAGAACTGAGGGTTGCTGCAAAGCTCACTTCTTATTAATTCCATACTGTTTTGTATGTTTAGCAGTTTTAGGGCAAACAAAACAACTTCCACATTGAGACAAAATACTGACATGTATTTTCAGGTCTATTCTTTACCTCAGCATGCACTTATTCTTAAAAGCTCTATTCCTCTCCTAGAGATATCAGTAACTTCTGAAGTATCTCTATAAAAGAGAAGCTGATTGTTTTCTAAGGCTACAGAACAGTTAATTTTTTTACCGGGTCTCATATCAAATCACCAGTGAGCACTAGGAAAAGAAGTACTAGTATTATATAGTAGTACTATAGTACTGTATAATACCACATAGTACTACATGGTAACAGTGCATATAACATTAAACAGTATTATTATTATAATATTAATAGAAATATTCACATGCTTAAATACTTTGGGACTGTGATATAAAGTCACATTTACAAGCAGATTAAGAACATCTTTGAAACTGAAAAGCCCTCTTATTCTACAGCACAAGCAAAAATGATTAAACACATCCGTAGCTAAACACTGGTACCAACAGACTTTGTGTTTTGGTAAAAACATTTGTGTAGGTATCCAGGACAGAATTTACAACTCTGGCAGCTGACACTTGCAAATTACTATGCTAATATTTCATTTGTTTAGCTTCGCTTGCCAACCTTACTATGAAAGCAAAGATTAAGTTAAATCTAATAGCTTCTCTTTTCGTATGGCTCTTCTGTGATCTGACTAAAGCTTTCTCCTACAACTATCTACGTAAAATACACAGCTAGACACCGGCACTTTCAAAACAAGCAACTGCACAGTTAAAGACTGCATAAGCGTAGGTTTGATTCCAGCATGATCAGCCCAATAACTTCAAGCTCTAGAGTCTGTCAGTGAAAGAAGGGATCCAGAGATTTTATTTATTGATTTGTAAGCATAACATTTCCCAAACGTATTTGCACACTGGTGCGATAGTTTCAATAACCTTTGTTTGAATCAATTACTATACGATTCATGCAGAGGGATTTAAGACGATGAATGCCAAGTTCAATGAGGCCTTCCTCGCTGAACAGCTTTCTGTCATGTCTATCCAACACTTTAAATAACATTCCAAACCATAAGCTCTCCTCTTCTCACATCATTACTGTGTTATGTTTCATACAGATCTAAAGCTCTTCCCACCACGGGAAGGTCTCCCTGCTCCACAGTCACACTCCTCACCACTTCTGAGACCCCAGGGAAGGGTTTCCCTTCTGCTTCTGCCACACACTGAGTTGGTGTCAACGGACTGTGTTCAGGTTTTGTTTCTAAATGAAACAGCCAAGCATTTTGTCTAGATTGCCCTCAAATGTGATAGTTCAAAAGCAGTCGACAAATACAGTAGGTTCCTTTACCTCTGTAGCACAAAAAATAGTAAATGGAACCTTTTTGAAAAGTGTTGGAAAGTGCAAAAACGTCAGCTTAAAAAGGAGATTACAGGAAAGGAAAGGTAATGAGTAAGGCTGAAAGATTTCCCATTTAAGAACAGCATGCATGGTCTGATGGGGTATCGAACAACACCAATCCCACAGAAACCATACCCAAGGCTGGAACAAAAGGAAGACACCTGTGTCTTTCGTGCAATGCAGCTGCCCTGCAATGTTGCTGCTCTCGTCTTCCACAGGTGGCATTTTGGAGTCACATCCATGCTACCACCAACAGCTATACCATGTGGTGATTTCGAGTAACCCTGCTGCTTTTAGACTGAGAATGTGCTTAGTCCCTTAACTGTATTAGCGGAAACAGATACGAAGAACTGGGATTTATTTGGGGCAGAAAATTTTGCTGTTGAACAGAGAGGTTAATAAAACAAGGTCTGTTCTAGGGAAAAGCCACTTATCTGTACAGTTTCTAGTCTTCAGTTGTCACTCTCTAGGAAGAAAAGGATTTCTGGTCAGCTTCTGCATTTAAATAATGACTAGAAGTGCTCATTAGGTTCTTCAGACAGCTATAAAAAATTATCATTCTAGGTGTCCTGGTTTCAGCTGGGATAGAGTTAACTGTCTTCCCAGTAGCTGGTACAGTGCTACGTTTTGAGTTCAGTATGAGAAGAATGTTGATAACACTGATGGTTTCAGTTGTTGCTCAGTAGTGGTTAGACTATAGTCAAGGATTTTTCAGCTTCTCATGCCCAGCCAGTGAGAAAGCTGGAGGGGCACAAGAAGGTGGGAGGGGACACAGCCAGGGCAGCTGACCCAAACTGGCCAACGGGGTATTCCATACCATGTGATGTCATGCCCAGTATATAAACTGGGGGGAGTGGGGGCGGAGGGATTGCTGCTTGGGGACTAATTGGGTGTCAAGTGGTGGGTGGTGAGCAATTGCACTGTGCATCATTTGTACATTCCAATCCTCTTATCATTACTGCTGTCACGTTATTAGTGTTATCATTATCATTATTAGTTTCTTCTTTTCTGTTCTATTAAACCGTTCTTATCTCAACCCACGAGTTTTACTTCTTTTCCTGATTTTGTCCCCCATCCCACTGGATGGGGGGAGTGAGTGAGCAGCTGCGTGGTGCTTAGTTGCTGGCTGGGGTTAAACCACGACACTAGGAAAACACATTTTCTTTTTTTTTTGCTTGTGGAGTGGGAGAAGGGTGGGGTAAAGGAGGGCAGGGAAAAAGCGCATCTGCTTTGACTAAATTGCAGGTGCTCACATAAGCTCAGATAGTTGGAAAAGAAACAGTTTACATGGTTCGGGTCTGCACTTCAGTGTTGAACTCCACAACCTGAATGTCTCTGGGACTGGAGAGGGACCTCTGAAACACGGAAAATCAGTGGGAAATGTACCAAGGCAAAAAAACCTCTGAGAATGTCTCCTAGCTAATTTATCTATTCAGGTTCCAAACCCTTGTTTAGAAACAAAAACAACAACAACAAAACAGGGCAAAACCAAATATACTAAGTTCCCCAAATGATCCATGATGTGACAGCCCCCATGAGGAGTTACCTGACTGCCGCCCCAGCTGAAGTAAGAATTACTTCTTTTTCTTTGAAAAGCACTGCTGGAGCAAGGAGAAACCAACATTTCTCAAAAGACAACACATGCCCCTTTTAGCTGGGTTTTCAAGAGGGAAAATTCTACAACAATTCCTTCTCCTTGTTTTTTTAACCTGTTGGCCACAACGAACACCACCAGCGCTGGCAGACAGAAAGGCCAACACGTGCTTGCTGCTGGCACAGCCTCCCAAAGCCTTGTCATTGCCTCACATTCCTGCTTGATGACAGCACTCAAAGCGCTACTTCGAAGTTTTAAGTCAAAGCAGACTGCTGCGCCCCGGAGCTGCTCAGCTTGGCAAGTGCCCCCTTCGGAAATGCCCTCGGGTGGGCGAGGGCAGCGAGGCACCATTCGTACAAAGGGGCGCTTGGCCAGAACGCTTTTGCTTGTGGCTCCAGCTGTAGGCTAAACTCAAAGGAGAGTGGCCAGTGTAGTGCTTCCTCCTGCTCTAATGGGACTAATTGGGTGGACAGATAAGATCCTGGGGAGAATTCACAGCAGCCTGAAAACCAGGGACCATGGGAGGGGGTGGACAGGATCCCACCGTACAGCGGAATAACACAGCGGCTGCATTTCTACTAAGGACAGCCTTACGATTACGAAGGGGTACTCAGAGCACCGTGTCCAATAACGGGGGGTTAGGAAGCCACCACACTTTTTCAGACAGCCTATTTCACTGCTGTCTCTGGGTCAGCTGCTCACGAAGCAGATGAGAAGCAGAGCACATCTCTACACAGCTGCTGCAAACACCTCTAGTTGAGAGCGATACAGAGGGTACCAATGCACAGCATCACATCATTTGGAGGTAATCTTCTCCGGGTTCTTCTGCCATATCAATAAGCTCATGGTAAGACAACTTAACTTGCCAGAACGGGTGCTGCAGTACGCATGAGAATCCGTAGAAGAGCATCCAATGGAAAAGACACTGGACATTTCCCAAAAACATGCAGCATCAAGTGAAGCACAGGGCAATGTTTTTTAATGGGGTTTTTCTTCAGATTGATGGGACAGTAAGCATTTTCCAGTGGTATTGTTGACCCCTATGCTGAGAACCTAACCCTACTGAACACCCTCCTCAGTTGCCTTTTGCAGATCTCAGGCATAGCTCATGAACCTCTGCAACCACAGGTTGAAAACACTTTCTCTAAGTTCATCAGTTACGAAAGCAATGTCACCACTTAAAAACTGCTGTGCTTGAACCGACCTATGTGTGCCTCATATTCTCACTGGAGACACAACTGGAAAGCAGACACAGGGCTGTTGAACTTAGGAGCTGGTTGCAGAAAACAGAAAGAACTTGGTACCTATCCTCACAGCGTCCTTCACACTTCTACACAGCACTCTAAATTTAACTGCTCCCTTTAAACATCCTTCAGTCCAGTCTAAGCTTCAGCTTCTGCCAGCCTGTAAGATACAAAATTTAGTGACAGTCCAATACAAAGAAAAAGTTTAACAGACCTGCACCCTGTTTGAGAAGCTCCGCTGCTGAGTTTGCAGCAGTTTGTGGAGAAGTTTCTGCTATCTCCTCCAAGGGATCTGCAAACAGAAAACACTGTCCATGTCTTGTTTGGACTTGAATTGACAAATCAATGCACATAGTCAAGTATGAGTTTAGCTTTTGTGATTGTGATCTCATCTACTGGACAATTCTTGGCCAGAAACATGAAACAATCTTGTATCTGTAACTATAATCATTCATGTGGTTTTTGCGCTGCATCAGGTTTTTTGCCTCCAGCACCACAGGAGGGATGTTCAACCTTTATTTCCTGACAGTAAAAGACATAACTACATAGCATATGCTGCAGGGACATACATGATGTCACATTAAAACAATACTAACAGCTATATTCCCTCATTACAGCCTCGAAATTTTTTAATTATCTCATTTAATTTGTATAATTTACACTAATTTAGGCACAAAGACTTTGTGTTTCTACGATGAAATCCATTAATTATATTTTGATTCAGAAGATGACAACATAATCCTTCTTTCTTCATACTTATGCAGAAGACAAACATCTGAACTATTAAGACAGCAGGGGAATGTTTGCCTCCCAGTCTTCTGTTAAAATTAGTGAGAAAAGTGTCCATCAGAATGTTATTTCAATTATATAAATGCATGTAAAAAGATCTCACTGCTGCATTTAACATGATGCATGTTGTCTTTGAATACAAACATTAAAATGAGGAAGAGAGCAGTAATATGGTGTGTGACACTATTCACATGTTTAGAGTTATCCATATGCTTTAAATACTCTATGCACTGTGTCCAGAATCATTAACCACAGACGATCATCTTAAAATGCGTGATGATCTTGGATTCAAAAATAAAACCAAAATAAAATTTCACTGTGGTATGTTTATTCAGGACAAGGCAAATGTTTCAGTCCTGCACCTCTGCCAGAACAGAAGGAGCTTTCCATTTTAGGTGAGGAGGATAAGGAGAACAAGCCCACCTAGCACACTGGTTTGCCATATAAAGAGATCTCTGGTCACATCTACCATAGCATGGTTTTGTGCTAAAATGGTTTTGTTAATGTATTTGCATAATTCAAATGCTATGTTTGAACACTGACATATGGCCTTTAACAAAAGTTTTAAGAGTTCAGTAGAAAACCACAAGAATGTTTAACATTTCAATAATACATCTGGTGTTAACTTCATGTGGGAGAGCAAAAGACAACTGAATTATGGGGCAAGCATAGCTACATTTTGCTGTTGTCTTAGAGCGGTTTATGAAATCACCATAACCAAAATTAGAATTACAGTCCCATGATGCAACACAGGCTTTTCGATCATTTACTTAAACAATATTTGGACCTAAGTTGCTACTTCCTTCCTGCCAGTGTCATGCTCAGGGCACCTTCTGTTCTTTACCTACTTGGCTTCCCTGAAGCCCTTCCACCACCCAGACCTGAATAAGTGGTTACATCTAACCATACATGGGCATAATTTCATGTCTGAGAAGTGCATTTGTCTTCCTACACGCTAGATTACTGTGCAGATTCCCACAACACATACACGTTTACGACTGGAATATCACAGTACTAGTCTGCTAACGACTACAGCTTGGATAAGAGCCGTCAGCAGTAGTGAAGAACCACTTTTAAAACAGCTTCTTCCCTGTGCTTCTTGCTTAGATCTTGACTTGTGACATGTTCACCTGCCTTCAGATAGTGGCACTTTGAAGCAGAGCTTGGCTGGGTATATCTCTTCCGTACTTTAACAAGCATACCTCTGTCCGGGATGAGGAGCTTGCAGGGCAATGCCAGCGGAGTGATGGAATGCTGATACACCAGAGCTGTCAAACTCCCTGTGGTCAGAAAAGTAATAAGACATGCACTGTTAACTTGGTGGACAACAAGAATGCTTAACAGTTATTTTGGCTCTCGAGTATTTTATAGACCAAGGGGCCTCCCCGCTCTCCCCTTTAAAAAAAAATTCTCTTGGCACCTAAACCAAGACCTTCTTCTGTCAACTTTAGCGTATTCATGCTTCCCAGCACCCTCCCAGTTGGATGCACCTGAACTCATTAACCACAATCCTGTGCTGCCTTTCCCTGCTTAAGCACAGTGCTTAAATCCTAACCTAAATGACTTTGCTTCAAATGGAGAAAGCACAAAAATAACAAAACCAGTAACATATGGAAGCCAGTAAATTCCTTTCAATGCTCTTAACTTCTGCTACATTAAATGTAGTAAAATCTTATGAAGATGGTAAGAGTACAAGGGGTCAATGCTATGTGATGAGGCAGAGAAAGAGCGAGGAGTTCTTCCTCTGAGCCACCTAGTCTCCACCGTCCACTGCTTTGTCTACATGCACCTCTACTTTGTGTTTCTAAAAGTATAACAGTTCGTCTAGATAAAGCCTCCTCCGTTCAACACGGCAGTGATGTACGTAGCATTCTCTATTAAATTATTCTTCTTTTCTATTCAAAGTCACTTTTGTCATCTGGACTTGGCTTAATTAAAATAATTAAACATTAGTCATCCTTGACATTAGCATGTGAGACTATACTCTTAAGGAGTGAGGGAAAGGTGTAATATTCATCAGTCTGTTTGCACAAAAAGCCATCCTTCGATCCTGTTTACTAACAAACATTGAACATTATAATCATGTGCTTGAGAAAAATCACAGTTCAACCAAAACCAACCTCATTTTTACAGCCCATCAAAAATTTCTTTGAAATGGAAAGATGACCAAATTCTGCAAGGGTCTTACAGAAACGCAAAGACCAACTGACACTACTAGTCCTTCACTGTCTTATCCATACAAGTGTGCCTGCCCACCTACTTTGTGAAGCAGTTTTGAGGCTGTATACATTGAAAGATTAGAAGATGCTCAAACCAAATGATGAGTAGGGCTACACATGTGCCATAAACAGGTACTTCAAGATCAAGGTAGGACTGGGCTAAAAATTCTCATCTGAAGTAAGTCTCATGCCAAACACTGACAAATTTCAACCCACTTTTACTTCAAATAGGATTTGTCATTTTAGACTTTTTCATTTTATGGTGGATGACTCCTTCACGGGTGTACGTGACGAGGCTGGTAGCAGGGGGTGGGAGAGCTGTGGGGAGAGGCCGGGGGCTGCCCCACGCCAGACACAGCTGGCTCCAGGGGACCACCGAGCCACAGGTGGGATGCCTCTGGGAAAGCATATCTAAGAAAGGGCAGAGAAGGCCACACAGAGACAAGAAGGGAACAAACAGGGTGAGACGCAGCAGCAGGAACACCACAGTCAGAGGAAGAGGAGGAGAAGGAGGTGCTCCAGACACGCAAGTGGACATCCCCCATCCTGCTGCCCATGCAGCTCACATGGGAGTAGTGGATGTTTCCTGAAGGAACTGCAGCCCGTGGCGAGCGCACGCTGGAGAGGTTCTCTTCCTGAAGGATGGCAGCCCATGGGGAAGGCCCACACCTCAGCAGGGAAAAAGTGGGAGAGGGATGGAGCAGCAGAAGGGAACTGTTCTGTAATGACTATACAGCCCCGACCCGCTCCTGCACTGCCTGCGGCGGGGGTGAGGAGTCGGGGGGAAGCAGTGAAGCTGAGCATTGATTTTAATTGGCAATAAATTAAAATTAATTTTCCCCAAGTTGAGTCTCTTTCAGCCACGGTAGTAAATGGTTAGCAACCTCCCTGTCTGTATCTCGACCCATGAGCTTTCTCATCCTATTTTCCCCTCCTGCCCCACTGAGGAGGGCAAATGAGTGAGCAGCTAGGTAGGTATTCGGTTGTTTGCCACAACAGGTAATGCCCTTTCATCATATTACATTAGGTAGGCTGACGCAGCACAATGTAATTTGTGAATGTCCCACTCTGGTGTCATTTAGCCAGCTAGTATACAGTATAAGTATAGCACAGGACAAAATAACACAAAGGTCCTGAATCAATAAGGCCCGTAACAGCCATCTAGCTCAGCTGTCTGCAGTGGCACTGGCAGTGGTAGACCAAGTTCGACCGCTTCAAGCTTGGTCATGTGCATCTGTGCTAGAGTGCCCTGCACATAGACTTAAGGTAAATATGTACAAGGCTCCTAGAAACTTAGAATGGGTTCCTACAGAAACCATCAGGACATCAGCAAAGTATTCTCTCATTTGCACTCCGTCCAAGTCTATGAAACAACTCTGGCAAATGCAAACTGTTTCTATTTTCTGTGTCCCTGTGATGCACAGTACTTACCAAAATATGGTTCATTTGGGCATCCTTTCAAGCGCACCCCCTTGTGCGTGCATTCAATCAGAAAATGCCTTACAAGTTCATTTGACAAATCTCCAACTGTGTTGAAAAAGAAAAAGAAAGCTCATGAAGAGAAGCAATGAACAGACAACAGTCTTACAAATTAGCAGGTCTTTATGAAGCAGTTTTCCACATTACCACCTAATGTTTTATATACAGCATGCAAAGAATACATTAGACTTGCTCTGCTGCAAGGTTACAAGCTGTAGTAAAAAGGCCATTTTTCAAAAAACAAGCAAATGGCTCACTTTTGGTTAGACAACCAGAGGAAAAGGTTTTATAATCATAAGTGACTGACATCCAAATGTACACTGGTGTCCAAAATGTCCAAGCATGGTCCCAACTACAGACAGGAACAGAAATTTGGAAAACAAATAGTTAGAAATTCTGAGGCACTTGCCCATTAGAAGAACTTGTATCTAATGTGACAAGGGAGTAAAAGTATGATAAAATACTCAGATTTCTACTGACAGTTCTGCTCACAGAACTTTTCCAGATTAAAACAATAGAAGATTTAGCTATACAATGGTAATGATGCCAAGTCTCTTAGTGAATTTTTGAAGTTTTAAAATGTTAGCAGTTTTACACTAAGTCTTTTCTCCTGAAAACAATTACACGAAACACTCAGGTTTCACTAGATTTTTAAAGACAGTTTTTCTCTCTCAGGAATCTAGGACAAATTGAAATTGTTAAGTTGGAAGTAATGAGGAGATTTAAAGTCCAAAAGGCATATAAAAATTCCCTTGAGATTTAGCATTCTTTTATACGTATACATACATATGCATGCGTATGATTAAGACAACTTCATTATTTCTTGAAAGACTGGTTCACAGTATTTCACACCTGACTACAAACTGAATCTCTCTCCAAGTAATTAAAGGGTTATTTCACAGCAATGGGACAAAGCTACCCAACCATTCAAACTCTAACAAAAGAGCCACAAACACAAATGCTCCCTTTGACTCTGATCTGTCAGCCACAGTCCAGGAAACACATGACATCAAGGGTTGACTTTCAGGCTAATACAGATGAACACATTAATCTGGACAGCAGAAACTTCTATGCAAGCAAATGTTGCAAAGATCACCTTTTCAAACAGTTTACTGTTTGCCATTATGCTCTCACAATATTAAAAAAAAAGATGACTACAAGGGTATGTGAGAAGGGGGAAGCCTGGAACAAAAAACCCTGCAGGAGACTTAACAAATTCGTGCCTTCTGGGATGAAACAGTGGGAACCAAAAAAGCTAAATATCAGAGAGCGAGAAGTGGAAGAATGCTACAGTCTCAACTAAAATTTTCTCTTACTACTACTTGCCTGTGGTATAACTAACATAAACTGGCTCTTAAAGGCTAGTAGAGTTTGAACTTTCATGTATTCCTGGACTTCATTGGTCTGATGATAAAAAAAGATCACTAAAACCACCTACAGCCACTCTCCATTTGCCTCCTTGTCTCCACCACCTCAGTGCACCCCTGTTGTCTTCATTAAATAAGACATTGCAGTGGTTCTGCTGATGTTTCTTGGCAATAAAAAGGATTACATGGCAAATTTTTATTAGAAATTATCTCAAGATACCAGATTAAGTGTACAGAATTTGAAAGTGTTATTGTAATAGAGGTGGACTGCTAACCTTGCCCCAGAGTAAGCATGAAATCTTAAGAAACACCCCCAAAACAACAGCCAACCAACCAACCAACACCAGACAAAACCACACTTCCATAACCACGACACTAAGAATCACTGCTTTCCTGTCATCTCAGTTTCTTACCTCACCAGGCAGCATGTACTAATGAAACATAAACAGCTTTGTAAAAGCAAAACAGCAGCAATGAAAACCACCCCACTATGCCTGCAGTAGCACAAATGGAACCAAGAACACTACAGATACTGGCTGCTGAGTTTCCATACATTGATTAACGCTTTCCGTATGTTCTTGTTTTACCTTCCACAACTATCAGGCACAAGTTATACATGGAGGCACTGGAGCTGGGAAAGTAGGTGTATTTCATCGCATCTTTTAAACAACTATCGTCTTTCCTTAGGGAAGCTCCTCAGATTTACATCTAATGTAGAACTGTCTCAAAACAAAACCTTGTGGTCAAAAAAATTCAACCTTCCAGCCAAGCGAAAGCTTTACACGGTGGTATGTAGATCAAATGCAGACTTCTGATTGCTAGGGAGGACTCATTACTGAGATGACACTGGTCTTCTAGTAGGTTGATAAGGTACACTACATGCATAGCCACAATAAACACAGGTTTACAAGCCATGGTGAAAAAGTACAACAGACATCTTATCCCGTCCCATTTGACAAGGTACCAAATGGAGTCTGTAATTCAAGTTGCACTTACTAGAAGAGGGGAGATTTCCTCCAGATTATTACCGAGTAATAAGGACTTCCTACTATGCAAGGCTTGTTAAATAACAGATAGAAGGCATACGGTACCTTTCTTGTTTAACTGCAGCACAGACGGAGGCGGTGTAGCAACTTTCATTGCGAGCCCATAGGCTCCCCGGAAAGAATGACTGTCTCGAACAATGAACGACCCAGGTTCCTTGTCCTTCAGAACAGCAATGGCTGCAGGGGATTCCGGGAAAGAGAGAGAAAAGCAGTTCCAGAACAATACACACACCCATAAAGTACAGAAGTGCAAACCTATAATTAATAGGAGACTAAAGGAAATAAGATCCTTTTCTCTGTCTCCATTGCTGTAGAACAGAATACAATCAAGCATACTTGGGGGATCTGAGCGGAAACATCTTGTGCAAATCTCACATTTCAAAAGAAGCCTGAAGTACAGATTCCTACTGATTTTTAAACTGAGACGGACATGCAGGTCCCATCAGGATTCCTACAACCAGTACAAGAGCAAGTTGATTCCTGCTTAAATTTTGTCATTTTGTTAGAAGCGTGACAGAGAGCACAGCTCTCTCATTCCCAGGCTGACTAGACAGCACTGTTTTTCTCTTCCTATGCAGCTTCAACAGGCGGAGCAGATCCGTTTTCATCCACCACCAAGTTTCTGTCCCTGCAAAGCAGTCTCACTCTCTTCCTAGGTTTAAAGCAAGGGAAGGGATGTGAGTATTTGCTCTTTGACTGTCCAAGCATCAAAATAATTTTACATCTACATTCTGTGATCTCTGCTGGAAGTGTGATATGAAGTCCTCCCCAGGAGGAACCATTTGCAGGGAAACTGCTCTTGCTTTGCAGGAGTCTGCTGCAGGCTTTGAAATCTAGTAGCCCAAAATCTTAATCTCACTTATAAAAGAGACAAGAGGTTGATCTAATGATTGATCTTAGTTTGATCTTAATAAACCCTTAGTACTTTGCTTGTAGGTTTTTTTTCCTTAAACTTTTTCGAAATACTTGTGTTTGTTTCCAGAATTTCTAACGATCAGCAAGCCTTCAAAGAAACCCTGGAAACAGCCCAAATTTGACCCTGGAGTCCTTAAATGTCTGTATATACAGAATACGGAAATTATGCATTTGGGGCATGAAGCCATATTTTGCAAGGCCTGAGCAATGATTACATGATAAACACACACACTCTTTTTTTTTTCCATGAAAGGAAGAGTAGTAGCAGAAAATCGGGAAAATGCAGACATAATTGTCTCTCCTCTTTAAGTGAGTAAAGCAAATGTGTATGTCTTCTGTTCTATTCATGTGTCAGATGGTGAAGAAAACAACTATTTTCACAATAAACTGTCATGTTCAGAGGAGGAGGACGAACATATAAAACCCTGCAGTTCAGCAGTACTCACATAACACTTCTAAATCCACAGGGGGACAGTAATCATTTGTCACAGGAGCAGTCCATTAAGCACAGAAAAAAGAACAAGTGCTCCCCCTCCACAGCAACAGTATCTTAAAAGACTTTTTAAAAGGAATTGTACTTGGTAGGGTGAAAAGAGGCATACTGAAAGGTTGGGAAGATTCTCTTTTCATTTGTTCAGGCAGCTAGGTTTAAACCTCCTTTATGATCTATTCCCCTCTCTGGACTGGCATCAAGCCAGGAAAATTTTTTTGCATATTTAAAGACTCATTATGGGTGGGGAGCAGACAACGGGAAGGGAACTGGAGCGAAAGGACCAGTAAAACATCATCCAAGATGAATTAATGATCTGTTTTCTATGACCTTTATTCCCCTGGGCTCGTATTTACCATTACACTGCAAGAGGCATCCTCACCATTTGAGAAACTATGAATGAAACAAGACATAGCAATTCATCGTTTGCCAAAAGCTGAAGGCTATTTTGGTTTAGTGTGAACTTTCTTCCCAAGGCAGAACCAATTCGTCATTTTTCCTTTTTGAGAACCACATTTTAAGAATCCCAGTTTAAAATCCTGCCATAACTCATTAAATGCAATTCAGTATAGCTGAATATTACAATATGGACACAAGGACCATCAGACCAATCGCATCTGCAAAGCACCCAGCATGCTTTATTTACGCACTGTTGCAGGGACAAGGTGTAAGATCATATGTATAGATCTTCACATCCATAATAAAAGCTTTCTCCATCTCATTCAATAATATATCTACATACAGATGTACTGTATCTGTATTGTACCTCATGAAGATGATGTTCCATGAGAGTGTTATTTCATAACCTTTAAGAAATAACGTATGTCACTTACAGCTGGCAATGAAATTCAGGCTATAGAGCGACTGGTAGATGACGCTGCTTTTATGATGACTTCTAGCTAATGAATTATTCTCTGATATTTTAGCATCTCTCACCTAATTATCTGTGCAGGGAAACACACATGGCTGAGATCATGCCAGAGCAGGACACTTGTACTCAAAAGGTTTCTGAGAGCAGACAGCTGCTCTCAGATGTGTACTGCATCACACGTATCTGCCATTCCAAAACCTTGAGCTTTTCAGTAAAATACATTTGCAGCAGCTACCACAGGCAGATTTAAATTACTCTGTAGTCAGTTCAGTTAGGCTAATCATTTGTCTGATTAACTGAGTATTTTTTAAGGACAATTTGACTGCCCTCCACTCTCAAATTCAGCCTTTGGACAACAGAAATTAAGTGAGGTTGTCTGATGCCCTTCTAGGTTTCATATTTCTTTTTGTATTTCTTTCAGACATCAGGTGTGCATAAAAGAAATGTAAGAATTCACCAACTAGCCCTTCTGTGAATGGATATGCCAGAATACGTATCAGTTTATATACCTTGTTCTCTTGAAATATCTGGCTTATACCAGAATTTGGACGTGTCCTGGACAAATTTTACGGTCACATGTTTATCAGTTGTGTTTTCTGTGAAATAAAAGGGAAAAAAGGGTCAGGAAATTTTTTAAATACAAAAGCATTTTTTACTTTTCTTTCCAACTTCTAATCACCTTAATTAATCAAAACCTTCATGATTAGAAGGACAATTTAGAGAAACCCTGAACTGTTTTGGAACCAGCAAATATAATACCGTACACCAAGATTCTGAAAGCATTCTTGAAGTTTCGTTTTGCAGAATCCATAAGATATGAAAAACTTACATTTATAAAGCTGTATTAAACACAAAGCTGCATTTCTCAATGGGGTCCAGTGAATACCCATCTACATTTTTAACTATTCTTGACACAAGTCTAGAAAGGTGCAGAGAGAAGCCAGCCCTTATTAAAAGAAGTTGGACTCCACACCACTGGCTTGTGGTTTGGCAGTTCAAAAGGTAGGCTGCCCTTGGCTGACATCTCGGGAAGCACAGAAAGAATTCTGCAGCCTTGTTCTCTGAGTAACACATACCGAAGCCAGTGAGCTGGCCCCGCTTACTGCAAATATTCAAGTCCTCTGTGCCATTTTCATTCCATTGCTTTTTTTTTTTTCTTCCCCACTTTTAAAATCCCCCGAATGCTTTTTATAAACTCACATAAAATCTAACGTATTTTGCACGTCTCTGATGCAGAACCTACCTGGCACTGGGGAAGTGCTTAGCATTTTCGAGAAGTCTGGGAGGACGTTCGGGAAGGGGATGCTGATTGTGCTTCCACTGTGGGGGCTAGAGAAGCCGCTTGACGAAGGTGACACGGAGGCGAAGGAACGGTCTCCTTCAGAGGACCTCTTTTTCTCTGGAAGAGGCGGCTGAGCATGCAGGTTCCCTCCGTGGTGCTGCGGAACCGCGCTGTTCTGGCTGTTGTGCCCGGAGGCCACTGTAAGAAAGTTCTGCGTCAAAAAGCCATTGTCCTCGGCACTTGCCACCGACGCGCTCATGGTTTTAGGAGAGATGCTAGTATTGGCTAGGAAAGTAGCTTGTTTCTCCTCTCGGGGGGAGCTGCCGCCCCTGCTGCCCCCGCCATAGCCCAGGTAAGCCCGGGCACTGCCGCCAACAGCAGGTTCTTGCTGCGGCTCTGCTGGTGAATTCTCCAGGCTGCTCAGGGTGATGACCTGCAGTCCTGGAGTCTGGAAATGAGACAAGAGAGAGACGTCTTGCACGGCGTTTGAGAAGTCGGAGGGCACGAGGTAACCCGCTGGCGGCCTGCTGTTGCCCATCGAAAGCTGGAGCGACGGGGAAGCTTTGGGGCTGCTTTCAAGCCAAGGACGTTCTGTCGCAGAAGGGCTGTCGGAAAAAAAAAAGCCAAAAATTGAACACAAAAATAAAGCGAAGCCAAATCATTCCCTTAAAACATCACTGTACAACCCGTACTGCAGCGATCGCTGAAAGCAATGAATTGCCTCGCCCAGGACGATGCCCTTTGACATGTGCAGGACTGGGTGATGCGGCTGCATCAAGGGGTTCCAGCCCCATCCTGATCACTCATTTCATCCACCTAGGTCATTACTTTCTGCCTCATCTCGCCTTCCACCTAGCCACGCTGATGGGACAGTCTCTGAGCTCGCACTGTAAACCAGGCCATCAAATTAATCACAGTTAGAAATACTCCTCCTTCCCCCTGTGTGAGAGGGTCACGTTTAATATGAATCAACCCAGTGAGGCTGTTCACAGCACTGCTTCACACACAGTGAGTGGTCCTGGAGATCTCTATGGGGTGAGCTGAAGTGCTACCTGGAAAAAGAGCAGCAGGAGGCAAGAATTTCTTAAGCCGAATCTGCCATCAAAGGCAGAGGTTTGTGGAAGAAAACTGACACTGACACAGCAGTTCTTACATGCACAGTCTCTTACGTTCATTGAAAAAGAAAAAAGAAAAGAAATGGGCTAAGGAGATAGTTGTGCACCATCACACAATAAATGAATAACTACGATAAGAACACAGTTCACAAGACCCAACTCTTAGGCCAGGTCCCTTTTAATATAATTCGTATTAAAAAAGGAAGGAAGACAGGTCCAGCGGTTAATTTGTTCGATGATGGAATTGCTTTGATTGATAGAATTAAATATCTCAACAGTAAACATTAGATTTTTCTACCAGGTAGCAGTTCCACCTGCTCAAGTGAAGAATAACAAATATCCTCCTAAGCAAGACAACCTCAGCTTCTGATGAAACCATCTGATAAAAGTCTAAATTGTCTCCTTGCTTCTAGAACTGAAATGCCCTTAGACTGTAGCTGGAAAGCATTACCAGCAATATCAAATGTAGAGAGAACAAACTCATTGTGAGATACAAAGGGAAAAGAGATGACATAAGATATATTAACAAAAGAAAGGATTTTTAATTAAAGGGAACTGTGAAAACAGATACCAGTAGATTTGAACAGAGCGAAGTAGAAGGGCCATAACGAGATGGAAGGGAAGCAAATGGAAGAAGGTGCCACTGCAAGAAAAAAAACGCCACAGCTGTAGCTGTCTGCTAGATGAAATGCAAAACGACAGAAAAAATATTTGGAAAGAAGGGAACAGAATTTTCTAGATAAAATTTGAAGTACGAATGTAAACTTGATAATGACTATGTTGCCTGGTAAGCTTTTAATTCATATCCACTTACTATGAAATGTTACATTGCCTCCTCCTCAGAAAATACTGACATACTTTGTTCAGTCTTAGGATTCACATTCATAATCACAAAACGAAAACATTCTTTTGCAGTCCAAGTACCGATTGAAAATGAAATCAATTAGATGGGAAGATAAATAAAAGATAAATAGGTATCAACATAATTGAAGTCCTCACTGAGAGTCTGACACACCAACCGACAGCATTCCAAGTACTTAGTGTGAAAAAGGAGCCAATTATCCAAGAACAAGAATAGGATAGTTAGCCACAAAGGAATGTTGTTGCAGAGTGATAGAAAAGGAAACCTACCCGCTGTAACATAACACCTCACCTATTAAGTAAATAAAGGGCACAGCTAATGACTGACCATTCATTGTCATGGTCTTCTGAAACTTCTAACAGTAACCTGGGTCTCCTTGCTGCTTTGCTGTGTTTCCTGTGACTTCTCATCTTACGCTATAAGCTCCTTGGGACACGGACTATTCTGTAGATTTATACTATTCAAGCTCTGGTCCAGAGCCCTACATGTTTACCACAATACAAATATGAAATAATAAAATCTCTCAGCCTGCTAAGCAGCTGAAAGGGAGTCAGCTATTCACTACCAAAACCAAATCCTCTGATATTTTACTGACTTGAAACGCATACACTGCGGTGAAAAGAGTGTTCCCTCTCTCTCATATATGACTTATTCCAATGTGAAATTTCATTAAATGCTTTTCAGTAAAGCACTAGAGAAGCTGGTTAAGCACACAGGAAAGCATGTATGAACTTGTGCTAGCACATAATAAAGTAATGGAGCTATTAATTCCTATTTATTTTTGTATTCCTGTTTATCTTCAAAGCTAATTGTGTCCCTGACATATAAACAACATCTGTGTATGTGGTAAATTCCAGCTGGTGGACAACATCATCATCAACTATCACAACCACACTCAAAAGTCCTTGGACAAATGCTCTGCAATGAAGATGAAAGCATAACATCTTGGCTGAAAACTACAGTTATGAGAACTAAACAATACGGTAGGAGAATCTTTTCCTACCTTTCTCCCCCTGGGATAGGAGTGTTACTGGAAACAGTACACGAAGATGCAAAACAGCGCTGAAAGGAGGGATCTGTCTGCATGTTGGCCCTCAGCAAAGCAGGGTTAGTGCCCACAGTGCTGTCAGACATCACCATGGAGTGGTTAATGGCTTCCGTGTAACTTCGAGATTCTGCAGCAAAGGAAACAAAGTAAAAGGCAAGTTAAAAAACAACTCACATTTTTATGGACCTTGTACTGAAAGGAGTGTTTATAAACCAATCTGTTTTTCTTTTAATAGGACTATAAAGAAGAGGTTTTAGTTGTTTGAGCAGTAACATTTTATTTCACAATGTTATGTTGATTGCTGAAAACATCCAGCAGGACAAATGGCAGAGGGAATAAAGATTACAGAATTGCACTACTCAAACTATTTGATCAGTTCTCCGGGGTACATTCTCTAGCCCTAAAGATGAGAGCAGACCCATCTGTTCCAAGTTGGTTTGCATTCCGCAGTCCCGAGTGCTAAATGGGGTATGCCTAGTCAAGTGTCCACTGTCAGTGTGCACTTAAACACCGAAGTGATAGAAAACTGGAGTATTAATTCAGCCCACTGCCGAATGGGGCAGGGGACCTGGTGGAAAATGACATGGAAAACGCTGAGGTGCTCAAAACCTTCTTCACCTCAGCCTTTACAAGTGAGCCAGGCCTTTGGGAATCTCAAGCCCCTGAGACCACAGGAAAAATCTGGATCAGGGAAGACTTACCCTTGGTGGAGGAGGACCAAGCACTTAAACAAACTGGACAGATGTAAGTCCACTGGGGCCTGACAGGTTGCACCCGCAAGAGCTGACGGAGCTGGCCGATACCACTGCAAGGCCACCCTCAATAATCTTTAAAAGGTCACAACGACTGGGAGAGATTCCCGAAGACTGGAAGGGAGCAAGCGTCACTTCTACCTTCAAAAAGGACATGAAGGACGATGTGGGGAACTGGAGGCTTGGCTAGCCTAACCTCAGTCTCTGGGAAGGTGATGGAGCAACTAACCCTGGAAACCATTTCCAAACACGTGAAGGAAAAGAAGATGATTCAGAGTTGTCAGCATGGATTTACGAAGGGGAAATCATGCCTATCCGCCCTGATAGCCTTCTCAGTGAACTGACTAGTTTAGGGGCTAAGGGAAGAGCAGTGGATGTTGCTTATCTTGACTTTAGTAAGGCTTCTATCACATCCTCATAAACAAGCTGACAAAGCATGGGTTGGGTAAGCGGCCAGTAAGGTAGACTGAAAACTGGCCGAATGGCCGGGCCCCGAGGGTGGTGATCAGCTGCACCAAGTCCACTAAGAGGCAAGTCACTAGCTTTATACCCCAGGGTTGATACTGGGGCCAGTGCTGTTCAACACCTTCATTAACCACCTGGATGATGGAACAAAGTTTCATCCCCACATCTGAAGACAACTGAAAACTGTGAGGAGTAGCTCATAAACCAGATGGTCGTGCTGCCATGGAGAAGTGGGAGAAATGGGCCAAGAGGAATCTCAAGAAGTTCAACAAGGCGAAATGCAAAGTCCAGCACCTGGGAAGGAATAATCCCAGGCACCAGTACATGCTGGGGGCCAACTGGTTGGAAGACAGCTCTGCAGAGAAGGACCTGGGGGTCCTGGTGGGCAGCAAGCTGACCATTAGCCAGCAATGCAGCCTCATGGCAAAGGCGGTCAACAGCATCCTGAGCTGCATCAGAAGGAGTGTTGCCAGCAGGTCAAGGGAGGCGATCTTTCTACTCTGCTTAGCACTAGTGAGGCCACATCTGGAGCGCTGTGCCCATTTCTGGGCTCGCCAGTACCAGGGAGACGTGGCACAAGGCCACAAAGATGCCCGCAGCATTGCTGGGACTGGAGCAGCTTTCAAAGGAGCAAGGGCTGAGAGAGCTGGTGCTCTTCAGCCTGGAGAAGAGAAGGCTCAGGGGTGACATTATCAATGTCGACAAATAGCTGAAGGAGGGAATAAAGATGAGGGAGCCAGTCTTCTCACTCTTCTGCTTACACGAGGAGAAAAGGACAAAACTGGGGTTGAAAGGCAGCTGAGCAGCACACAGCAGCACCCGGTTTAGCTACGAGTGCAGCTACAGATTTCAGGTGTGACTTTGTTCACACCACACAGACAAAAAAGTAAAGCGCCTGTAAACTTTTCTTTCCAAATAGCGTGCCAACAGCATCAGAGTAATTGGTTTCTAAATTAATTCAACTCTAAGCTACGTTCCACTTAATTATACTGGACATAAATACTACAGGATATAGTTAAAACACATGCATTTGGATGAGGAATAACGTGGATGCTATTACTGAAGAGCTTTATACAGGAACAGTTTAATCCCCTTCTTTACAGGTACATTTTAATAACCAGTCAAGCTCTAATGAGGATTACATTTGATTATTCTGGTATAGTCTAAAGCAATCCAACACCTACTCACATAAGCCCAGGTTCAATGGCATTATTTTCTACCACAGAAAAAGCCATGCCCTAAGATACCGCAAATGCCTGTGCATCTGAATAGCTTCATACACCTGAATAGTTCCATTGACCTCAGCACTTGCAGGACTGGAACCCAGTAAGATGATCACAAATGAAACAATCTCTAATTACTGTCTCTTGAGTAGATACACTCCAAAAGATGGAGGGAGAAAAATTACAGAAGAAAGCTGCGGAACAATTCCAGCCCTACAAAGAGTTAAGATCATATTAATGCATCTTTTCCATAAGAAAATATTCGTAATGTAAAAAGGAGGAAGGTTCTCACTATTTCTGTGAGCGCCACTGAAACAAGACTGAATAAATCCTTTTCCCTTCAATTCATGGCAGAGCTGGGCTCTGCTATTATTTGAAAGAGGAGGGTGCAAGGTACTTGAAAGAAATGCCTGAGATAAGAAAATCTGCAAATCAGTGTCCTGACTGAAAACCATTTGAATTCTTCACATAGCACACATACTGTACAGAACAAACGTGTAATTGGATGAGGGAAACATTACAACATTGCAACACTGTCTTTTAACTATACCCATTACTTTAACTATATCCACACCAGCCATAAAAATTAACTTTAAGGAAATACTGCAGAAATGTGTGTGGTGTGGAAGAGCTAGAGAAATGTGAATCTGTATCTCTCTAATAGCTCAGATACATTACACTCGTTCTCATACTGGTGCAAACAGTCAGAAAAAGCTGGCTGCATAAACCCATCATTTAGGCCATATTCCTACTGAAATCAGTGGTGTTTGTTTACACAAGTATTACAAAGATTGACTGTTTACCCAAGTGTTATGAACACTGATGTTAAGCAATGATTTCAATACATAATAAAGTAGTATTACTTTGTCTTTACTATTATCTGAGAAAAAGCTGATTAGTTGAAGGCGGGTTGGTCAAACTAACGTTGTACGTCTCCTTCTGAAACAGCTTAAAATCTTCTCCCACTCCAATGCAATCTCAGCTATGTGCGTAAGAGTCAATCTAAAGCGTTTACATAGCAAAGTCCTCTCCTCCTCCCACCAATAACAGCACCTGCTTGAAGAACTGGACCAAAACTTGATTCTTCCCTGTTTCAGGCCTTGGACCATTGCTATCACCTTTAGAGCACCGAACGCTGCGTGATGGAAGGACCGCTGTCACAGCTGCAGCATTTCTTTTCATACCCAATTTTCACAGGTGTAAAATATTAAACTAAGAGTGAAAAGCCACTGGCAGCCAGGCATGCAATCTGCAGAAAGAACGTGAACTCTGTACAACTCTTCCCAGGCTAGAAACAAGTATATCTGAAAGGCACTTCCCATGAAAGCAGCTTTGTTTACATTTCAATTAAAAACAAGCTTGCTGAATATTTCAGCTATGTCCTCTCTATTGTCTGATGCAGAGTCCACACTCACCGGTCAGCTGTTAACCCTTTTATCTCACAGAATCATCTACTCAGTGCAATCTCATGGCTTCTACCAGAATTCTGTATGCGTGGTACAAACTTCCCTGGCATGTCTGCTGCAAAGCATCGGTCCTTCTTGCTGCAGGCCCCTACTGAATCCACGCCATTGCATCTGTGAGAACACTGACAGCGTAAAAAGTGCAGCTCCCTACTTAAAAGAAGTGACACGAGAAAACCAGGATCATTCGTGTTCATGTCTCTTCATGCACCCGGGTCAGACCTGCCTACCTACATTCACTATCACTGATCATCAACTTCACAGGCAGAACCTAAGAGAGGAGTTGGACTCCTTGCATCACATGCTACCGAAAAGTGACATTCAGGAAGAAAACTAATACTATTGTGCCTATATGCAAGGCAGAAAAATATCCAGCTTACTCTTCTACTGTCCCACTTGGCAGCAAAGGACAAATACTTGTAAAAGTCACAAGCTTCTTTCACTTTTAAGCAGAAACTCCTGGATGTGCCTAAGACACAGCTATATAAAGTAAGATGTTATAGATTAACTTTTATTTTAATTCACTACATCTATTGAAACAAAAAAGAAAAAGGAACCCTGAAAAAAAATTCCACCAAAAAACCCCAGAGTGGCTTAACCCAGCCATGGTCCAAATAAAAGATACATAAAAATGTTCCTTTTCCTCTTTCTTGTAGCAGCCGAAGGGCAAAATCACCTCACAGCTTTGGAGACAACGGTGCAACAATGGCAGGGAAGTGAAAGGAGCAGTCATTCCACTGTCAAACCTTGTGCTTTAGCAGCTTCTCATATATTCCATCTTCGTAGTCCTTTTTTGTGAGAAGGCGATAGCTAACCTGCATTGCATGAGCTTGAAAACTCCCGTCAAGATCCTCAGTTACACCTTTTGGGGAAAGGGAGCTCTAAGTCACTCCCAAACCCCTGAGCTGACCACCCCCGAACTATCTCAGGCCAGCCTAAAAGCTGAATGGGACACAGAAAAGCATATTGCTCTAAAGTAAGCCAAAGTAACCGAGCCACTGCCAGCCATAAAGAGCAGCAGAGGGATAAGGAGCTTTGTGCAATACTTTTAAATTTCACAGTCTATTTCTTGATCCACCCTTTGATGGCTTCAGCAATGACGAAAAAATCCAGCCTAACAAAAGAACTGCAAGAAGGCACAGCACACGCGGCTGTGAAACACTGCTCCTATCAACCCTCTCATTCAGAGGTCCCTCCGCTTCCACCTCTCGCTGTTCACATGAG